ACAACAGAAGTTGGGAAAGCACCGTTGAAACCAACAAAGGAAATGTATCAAATGGTGGTTGACAGTGATGTGGGAATGATGGTACGACTGGTTATTGTTTACAGTGGCCTCACCATGAACATGGTAAGGAAGAACTTCGATGAAGGCCTTGGAGCAGCCATCAAAAAGCTCACTGGTGGGAAAAATGAGGAACTCACCAAAAAGTAATTACACTCTTTTCACATAATTACCCCACCCCACCCCTTCGACTCCCCTGTCGGCTGTCTCTATACAGACACACACTGTCTTACCTGCTTTATCTGTTCACTAAAGGATAATGGGAGAAGCATCGGATGAGATAAAGCTCATGCCAGGTTCTACTATTGAGATATCTAGGCTTCCAGGATACACTCTCCAAACAAAAGGTAAACAAAAGTGATAAATTTTCAACTTTTGTGGATAAAAAGGCATATGAATACAAGTATCTCACTCAATCTTATGGGAAATGCAGTTATGGGTGAGATTGTGAGCACAGTTGAAAGTGAACTACTCTGCAGGGCCTACATTTACATGTACTTGGGAGAAGATCCTTTTGACAGAGAAGCCAAGGAAAAGTTTGGGACATCCCTTCTTTCTCTTTTCTAAGGACGGACTTGGGACGGTATATTTTGTTAGGAATAAGAACAAGTCTACGCTGTAGCACCTAATAATTGATAAATAAGAATGAGATGACGAGAAAGATTTTCTGGAAAGTCTGTCTTGTTCAAAGTTTTAGAGCTTTCAAAGTAGCTCTGGAATTATGTATCAAGCTACCAATCTCTGCTCTTCCAATATATATACAGGAATACTCATCTACCTCGGATTTTAATTAGTAAATCAACTTAAAGCACAACCCCCAAAGACTATTATGATATCAAATTTTAGAACAGGACAAACGTACTTTTCTTTGTCAAGTAAAATACAGAAATAATATGGCATATCCTCGTGATCACAAAACGAAAAATGAGTAAGCTCATTGAACAACAAGCATTTTTCCTGCAATCATTTGCAGAAAAGCAAAATGAACTAATATTATACATAACTCAAAATGCTAAACTCCGTATGATCAGCTGAAGCCATGAAGGACTTTACGAGGATCCAATTGTCCACTGCAGTAACTTGAGGACACAGTTGATAGCTCTTGACGGCCCTTCCACTCTTGAGATGGTTTCAAGATGACTTGGGTTTCAATAGCAGCAGAATCTACACATAACATAGTTTTGTA